TCGTGACTGCTCTGCGGGGCATATGTGTGTTTGTGCTGTCTCTTATACACATCTAGATGTGTATAAGAGACAGGTGTGTGTGTGTGTATCAATCAGCCACTCACACACTCAAGCTGATTGGTAAGACCCCATGCTCACCGGCTAGTTCTCCTTTCTCACAGTTCCTGCTGGTCACTCAGGGCCAAACAGTGGCAAAGTGCAAAAACAGTACTCTGCTTGAAACCTCTCCCAACTCCTACTCTCTTCCACTTTCTGTTTGTCCGTCCGTCCATTCATCTGTTCGTTTGTGAATCCATCCCTTTACTAAATCGAAATCTCTCTCTTTACTGACTTTGCGGGTATGCACCATTTGGCAAATGTTGCATTGCGTCTGGCTTGTCATCTTGCGAACACCATCGAAATCACTGTGCCTTTGATCAGCAGCTCACATGGAGAATGGGTTCAACCCTCGGGTACACAACATATGACATGGGGAAAGAACGCGATATTGCCTTCTAAGTTTCAACATATTTAAGTGCCATCTTGAGTGTTACTCGATGACCTAGTCCACTGGGTATAGCACGCATGGTGAAGACGTTCTTATCATAAACTAGGGTTTTTTTTCTCTGTAGATAGTGGTAGCCTAAGCCTATGCCTATGCAGCAATTTAGTGATCGAGAGTGACAAGCAGCCCACAAATACCTGTGTGCTTGTTGGAAGAAACACAATGGACACCAGTGGAGTAATGTTTTACTGGGGAGGAGGGCATCTTGTTAAGTGCACAGGCTTAAAAATAAAAAAAGAGAAAAAGAGAAAACACTCTGAATGTCCTGGATTCGGTTCCGGGCTCGTTGCTTGTGGATCTCTGGGCCTAAGGTGCAGCTAAGGGTTCTTAGTAACTGTTTAGGGCTCTCGAGGAGGATAAGGCCTCTCTGTGGTAGAGCTGGTTGATCTAGATTCTGTGATGAATTTGGGGATGTGTCTGACCCTCAGGGTGAAAAAAGAAGTCGTAGAAAGCACTTCTCTCAGAACATGTCCCTGCCCCCCCCCCCCCCCCCCCCCGTCAGGCAACGACCAAATCAAACAAGAACAACCCCAACTCTGCCCGCCTTTCACACTCGAGCATAAATCGCCCACTTCAGTCCCGTGACGGCCTAATGCAGGGGGAAGCGGTAAAATCCTTCTAGATCGTGTTTGAGACCCTCCTCATGAGCTCTTTATCCTACTCTGCTGCTGCTCTCGCTATCCACAGTCATCGAAGAACATGCTTTGCTTTTGCTTGCTGCCATCGTTTCCGAACCTTGCATCTTTTCTTGACCTTGATGACCGGGGTTCGTTCCCAATCGAGTCTTTTTTGACGTTGGGCACATGGAATTGACAGATAGCTATTTGTGGACAAAAGGCTGTGTGGTTGGCCAGCTGATGGCTCTTTATCTCGGTAGGTTTCTTTGTTGCTTGACGCGTGTTCTCTTATTCTGGGCATGAACTGGCTGCAGGGATGTCCAGCGTTGGATTCTACAAAACCTGGGAAGAAAGAACTACGACGCCAGTATACGAAGACGGTAAGCGCAGACTTCTAGCTTACATGCATTACTTGTTCACAGATTTTCACTGATTGATGCTGCAAGCCTGCAAGGACATCAGATGCTAGTTTTTGAATGTGTTGTGTCCGTGATCATCGGCGGCTTCTTTCACTTTTCGCTTTCGCGGTCGCTTTGGCTCTCACTGACACTCTCACGTTTGCGCTTGCGCTTTCACTTATTCTCTTGCTCTCACTTTTGCTTTCACTTATTCTCTTGCTCTCGCTTTTGCTTTCACTTGTGTTTTCATGTGTCTTCGTGAAGGCTGCCTTCAGCCCAAGTGAGAGGGCATCTACAATGTGATGCAAGCACTTGTGCGCTGAGAGCAGGCCCCATTGGACTTTGTCTAGGGCTTTGTAGGGCTTTGTAGGGATCTGGATTGTATGAGCAGCCCAGATTGTGAAGTGCGGTATGGGCCACCCGATACCATATAGTGTCGTCAGAGGTAGAGTGAGTCAGAGCTGTTTCTTACCCAAAGATGCTGCTGTGGAGGATAAGATTATTTTGCATAATGTCATCGGGAGATAGAGTGAGTAAGAGCTGTTTCTTACCCAAAGATGCTGCTGTGGAGGATAAGACTATTTTGGATAGAATGAAGTTCAATGAACGGTGATGGTTTATGTTTGCTCGTGCTGGCAATTGCACCAATCAGGATGCCATGGAGAGAGGAGGCACCTGTGTGCAGCTAGCTATATGCATGTTTGTTCCGGGTGTGCGCTTGTGATGTAGCGGGTGAGGTGACTTCTTGTGTGAATATGAGATGAGATCGAGTTGTGGATGTTTTGTCGCATAGATTCTGACTGGCAGATGTCCTCTGTGTGCGCGTGCAATGTGCAGGTAGTAACTCCTAGCTATCGAGCACCGGAGGTGGTTATGTCAAGGGGGATATACACGTCAGCAATCGACATGTGTGTTCACACATCAACTCCCAAACTTGACCCAATCACTGTTTCCTTTTTCTTTGTAGATTTGTGTTCGTGCTCCAGTGGGAACTGTTCTTCTCCTTCTCAATCCCTATTTTGTTCTCTTCACAGTCTTCTGAGTCTTGTGCAATTTCGAGCCTCCAAAAAAAAAAAAAAAAAAAAAAAAACACGAGCCTCCAGGCATCATCCTCACATGAAAACATAGCATATTGCAAAAGACTGCTGAGTTTTTTGCGGTCCCGTTATCATGAATCGAAATTATCAAATACGATTGCTCGAGACTACAATGCCAGCTGCATACGATTTTAATATTCGAGGAGACTTCGCTTCAATCGACTGCCTATGGGTGCGCAAGCGTTTGGTTTTCGTCCTGCACTCCTCGTAGATGTGTTATACAACTTATAGTCTTATACACCATTCTCCTTTTTTTTTTCTTTTCTTCCAGGAACCAATAATCAAGAATATATTTTAAAATTCAAAGACAGTTTGAGGCCGGGGTCCTCACAATTCAACCCGGGGTTATCCCGGGAGCGTTACCCAGTCTAGCTTACGAGCCATCGCTCACCACGGAATCCATTCAATCCTCTGTAATTCCTATCTCCACTTATCTGTGACCTCCTCCTATGCTCCTCTCAGTTTCTCCAGCTGTCAGCTATTCTTGAGGCCCCTGAGCGCTATCAGGGCAACCCCAGGATCCCTCTACCTGTTCTACTTTCTTATGGTATTTTTTTACAGAGAAGGATGAAACTTCCATTCTTTCATGTTAAATTTCTGTGTGTGTCAAAAGGCAAAATTTCAATACAACTCTATTGGGTGACAAGAACTGGAGACTGTGGACACAAGTCTGGAGTCTGGACAGCAACAGAGACCTGTGAAGCCAGCCTCTGTACTTTGTGCCTAAGGCTTACAGAGGGTTTCTGTGTACATCTCTCCTATCCATGACAAGGTCCCTATAGTCGGTGAACCTGTACAACGGAAAATGAATCAGACGTCCTTCAGTGCATGATGGGTGCATCAGATGTTATTCTTTGTTGATCTGATGGTCTACAAAGGGCATCTGTTGGTCTGTGCAGAAATTCTCGTCATCTCAGAGCCCTACTTCTTTCCCTCTACTTCAATAAATGATATTTTCCGTTGCAGTCTGCCACTTTTACCTGCATTCGCTTTGCGGTTTTGTCAGTTGGTCGGTCAGTCTGCCTCCTGGTTTGCATTTGCTATCGCTCTGTTTCGTTTTGATTTCATATTCTGCCATGTTCGTAACAGTTCGTGTTTGCTTTGCATCTGGACGACGGTTTTCTTGCCAGATTGGTCTTTTTTAAGGTTTTTTTTTTTTTTTTTTTTTTCCTGCACCTTATCTCCGGTTGATCCGATTCCAGGCTGAGCGAGCCATCAAGAAGGAAAAAGAACCCTCCCCATGGCCCCCGCCGGCATCTCTGGAGCTGCTTACGTTACCGTCAGAGAGAGAGAGAGAGAGAGAGAGAGAGAGAGAGAGAGAGAGAGAGAGAGAGAGAGAGAGAGAGAGATGTGGATGGGTGCTCGGGAATCCCACAGTCACCGGTGGTAGTCCGGGGCTGGAGTTGGAGGGCTGGAATGTGTTGCCAGATTGGTCTTAAATTATGTGTTTGTGATTGCAGCTGTCAATCCAGACGTTGAAATATCACTTGAACGTTTGTGAGCTTGACAGTATGGTGGAAGGATGTCACCACTGCAGCCTTGTTCCTAGTCCCAAGTCCCAGTCCTAGTCCCAGTCCCAATCCCAGTTCCAGTCCCAGTCCCAGTTCCATTCCCAGTCCCAGTTCCAGTTCCAGTCCCAGTTCCAGTTCCAGTTCCAGTTCCAGTTCCAGTCCCAGTCCCAAGTCCCGGTCTTGAGTCCCAAGTCCCGGTCTGGACCCCACTCCCAGTCCCAGCCCCAGGCCCAGTCCCCCAGTCCTAGTCCAAGTCCCAAGTGCCGGTCTTGAGTCCCAAGTTCCAGTCCCATGTCCCGGTTTAGACGCCCAGTCCCAAGTCCTAGTCGGACCAGTCCCAAGTCCCGGTCTGGACGCCCAGTCCCAAGTCCCAGTTCTGAGTTCCGGTCTCGAAAGTTTGTGAGCGTACCCTGTTCCTCTGGTAGTACAGTCACCCTTGGCCACCTATTTGTGTACTCGAGCTTGGCATGCCGTTTGTTCCGTCAGTTGCCTTCGACTACTTTTAAAGTAATTCGAGTTCTCCTTTGCTCTGATTTTCTGGAACTCCTTTTGCAGGCAAAGTGTGTCACTGAGCTGGGTAACACCCAACATTCGTCATTTACGATAACTTGATACTTAATGGTATTTTACTATTTTGCGATGTCGTGAGGACTGAACTCAATTTTGTTGTGCACTGAATGCGAAGGGCATGATACGGAAATGGTTATGGAATAGTATGGAGTGAAACTTGCTGCGAAAGTAGTCTTTGCAATAGCCTTCTCAGTGTTATTGTCTCGCTCTCTTCCAATCGGGTGGAAATCCAAAAAGTTATGTTATTTATCTGACTGACAGCCTAACTATGTGACTGTTCTTTGTTTTGCTCGCTTGTTTGCTGCTACTCTGCTTATGCCGGCAATTGGTGACGTTGATGATGATGATAATGATGATGATCTGACTGCCTTCATAATGCAGATGGTCCGTTGGTTGCATCTTCTGGGTAGGTTTCTTGAAATGCATTTTGGGAACATCTGATTTGACATTGGAAAGGATGCTTAGGATGCAGAATAATCCTCTAGACCCCTGCCTTGTACATAAGGGGATTGCTTGGGCAGGGTTTAGGAACGAGTTTTTTGTTAACGACTCGGTGTGTGTGTGTGTCTGTGTGTGTGTGTGTGTCTGTGTGTGTGTGTGTGTCTGTGTGGGTGTGGGTGTGGGTGTGGGTGTGGGTGTGGGTGTGGGTGTGGGTGTTTGTGTGCGTGTTGTAGATTTTCACCACAACAGCCTGTGTTCCACACAGATGAGTAGATCCAAAATCGAAGCAGCTTTCCCTCTTTTGCAGACAATGAAGCCCACTTCAGATGAGCCAATTCAACAATGAAAAAGTTTGCAGCAGGATAGATCCATTATATCCCTTTCTTGACTATCTTTACTTTGGCTTTCTTTGGGGCACCCCTTTTTTTTTTCCTTGCAAAGAAAAGATCCCCCCCTTTTACTTGTTCTTGCAGCTCCCTTTTCACTGTGCCTCTCACTTACAAGGCTGGCAACCTGTGTGTGTGTGTCTGTGTGTGTGTGTGTGTGTGTGTGTGTGTGTGTGTGTGTGTGTGTGTGTGTGTGTGTGTGTGTGTGTGTTGTCATATTCACTATACACTCAAAAAATGCATGACTGTGCCAGACTGTTTCGTTGGACTTTCACCGACTCGTCAGGAGGCTGAGGTTGAACCCCGACAGTCTGCCCAGGATTCATTTCACTGATGGATAACGACTCACCACATCGCCCAGAGTTAGCGACACCCCAGTGAGAGAGAAAAGTGGTCGACTTTACTCACACCAACGTAAGCTTGCAATCCTAGCGGGTCTGAACCTGGTCCAAACCCTTGACAAGAACGGAAGTAAGTCTGAGAAACTAATCTGCCACAGTCATAAAACCCACTCTTGTGTGTGTGTGTGTGTGTGTGTGTGTGTGTGTGTGTGTGTGTGTGTGTGTGTGTGTGTGTGTGTGTGTGAGTGAGCAATTAAGGGAGTGAGTGATTGAGTGAGTGACGTGATGTGTCCCTCTTGCACATCGTCCTGCTTACTTCTTTTTTTGCGAAACTAAAAGAAGTCCTTTGCGTGAATCAATGCCCAACCCCCCAAAAAAGCACAACAGCAGCAGTTCACAGTGTTCACACATAGCTCCTGAAGGTTCTGAGACTTCTGGTATTTACCTACAACGCTGTGCTCACTCTACTCTACTCCTGTGCAAGTGCCAACCAATCAAAACATGGCTGACATGGTGGCGTTTTTCCTTCTCTTTTGGTGGCGGCAGAGCACTGCAGAAAAGCCGCTAGGCCAGCGAGCCTAAGAGGTGGAAAAGAAGAGAGGTTTGGTTAAGGAGGGCAAGTAACCAAGATTACAGGAAAGATGTGACAAGGCAAGCTAGAATCGGATGAGACTGTGACTTTTCTTTTGGGGGGAAAAAAGCATGTCCTGTTTTACAAGAGAATGTATCATGAGGAGGAAGTAGAAAGGATAAGACAGCAGTTAAGAGGAACATGCATGACTGGAGAGCTGGGACGTGCTTCTCCTTTTTCCTTCCTCTCTTCCTGATGATGAGGAACGTGCATGAAAGAAGAGCTCTGATGATCCTGGACACCTTCAGAATGAAGATATATGGACCAGTAGTGGCAGTAGATGTAATTTTGGCAACGTCTTCTTTCAGTGCTTCTGAAGAGTACTCCTTATAACCACCACTACCTTTGTCACTGGACGCCAAGTCGCAAATGTAACCAACTCCAGAAAATTCGGCGCCGCGCAGCCGCTTATATTTTCCATCAGCAGCTCCCGGCGTCCGAATTCGAATTTGGAGGCCCGCCACCCGAAACGTCAAGGGTAGTGGACCTAGTGGTCCTTTACGAAGTTTACGTAAATGTTTGTATACTCCAACCATATGCCTGCAGGACCATCACATGCCTGCAGCGGGATATGCGCTCCACAAGGATAGTGTGTTTAACTACCGTCTTCACCCGAATAGAACGCTCGGTCATTATCGCTGCACCTGGACCGAAAGTTGGGCCAAATGCGGCTACAATGACCGGGTGTTCTATTCGGGTGAAGACGGTAGTTAAAGGTGGTCACTACTGGAAAGGTGTCCCTGTGTGTGGGTAAGGTCCATTTGTTTGTGGATAACGTTGAAAGACTCCAAATGTTTCTAGTCTGAGGGATCCTATGTGTTCTGCAAGGTTTTCTGCTTTCTTTGTCTGTGTTTGTCTCTCTTGAAGAAGGGGTCTGGAGGGGAAGTAGCTTGTAAGATGATACGTGCAGCAGGATCTGAACTCCTGACCTTTGTTCAGCCACTGAGCACGTACATTCTGCAGTCTTTTTGTTCTAGCTCAGACTAGCTGCATATAAATGACAGCCCTAGGTGACATAGGGTTGAGGGGAGTAGCGCTTCAGATTGTCTTGTCCTTTGAAATTTTCCTACAATACTATAGAAATCCCTAAACGTTAAAAGGCTGTTTGTGCGCGTGAACAGCGCCGATTTTAGCTAGTGCAATAACTGTTGTAGGAGACACCATAGTAACTTGGTCGCGGGAAGGTTTCTCAGTGCATAACGCGACCTTAGTGTGACCCGTTGACCTGTAAACATCGTAGGACGTGAAATGGTCGTTGCACACGAAATGGACAACAATAGGTCGTAGGACGTGAAATGGTCGTTGCCCACAAAATCGACAACAATTGAAACCGGATGCAAGGCCGCCTTGAAGCGGCGCGCCTACCTATGCTGACATTCTCAGTAGACTCCTGCACATTTAAAGAGAGCTGGCAACTGTCTGAATTCAAGCGGATTTTGAATTACTTTCTTAGGTCTTGCGGGCATGCCACACCGCATTCCGGATTATCCCGATGCTTATGCCGGATGGAATGCACTGAGTAGTTTTTGGTCTTATCTTTCTGTTGAATCTGTTGTAGAATGATCACCCAAAAAGAAGATCGGCCCGCGATCTGTGCTGTTCACATGCACAGAGGGCCGTGATTGCAGGCTGATCTTATTTCTTTGGTGATTAACTGCCAATCTGGGCCATTCGCATCTGCGGAGGGCGCAGAAGGCAGGCTGATCGTATTTTTTTGGTGATCGACCGCCGATCTGGGCCTTTCCTTGCACAACGACCCAAATCGCGGGCCGGTCTTGAACTTCGGTGATCGGCCCGCAATTTGGGCCCCTGAAAGGTGCTCATTCGATGCAACGCGAAGAACCTTACCAGGGTTTGACATGCTGCGAGTCCCTCTGAAAAGAGGGCGTTCCTTCAGGAACAGGTGGTGCATGGCTGTCGTCAGCTCCTGTTGTGAGAGGTTCAGCTAAGACCTGCAACGAGTGCAATCCTCGTTTCTAGTTGCCCTCCTGAGTGATCGCCAGTCATAATCTGGAGGAATGTGAGGATGATGTCAAATGAGCATCTCTCGGCTTGCGACCCGGATTGCCACCCAGTTGGGGAAGGCCTACCAGCCCTGCTGTTTTTTTTTTTTGTTTTTTGGTCCGATGGACCACGGATCAGATATTAAACTGATCAGAACAGATACTTCGCTTGGTCCTAGCCAAAAGGCCGTTTTGGGGGCTGCTGAAAAAGTTGACGTGGCTGGAAGGCCCTTCATGGGCACAGGGGAGGCCCGACAGGCCGTCGTTCCGTTTCCCTGTTTCAGCGTCACACCTGAAAACAGGTGCCGCGAGCGGAAGTGAAATTGGGACGACCGATTGGCGCTCTGTATGTGTTTCCTGATCGCCTGGCTTCAAGTGAGCATGCCCCAGCTTGCGGCCCAGATTGCCGCCCAGTTGGGGAAGGCCTACCAGCCCTCCTGATTTGTTTTGGGGCTGCTCAAAAAGTTGACGCAGCTGGGGAGGGCCGACAGGCCATCATTCATTTCCCTTTTGCACCGTCACACCTTAAAGCAGGTGCCACCACCGGAAGCGAAATTGGGGCGACCGATTGGCACTCTGTATGTGTTTATTGATCGCCTGCTGGTCATCGTGACTGCTCTGCGGGGCATATGTGTGTTTGTGTGTGTGTGTGTGTGTGTGTGTGTGTGTGTGTGTGTGTGTGTGTGTGTGTGTGATGATGTGTGTGAACACATATTGCAGTTAGCCTCAGCACGGTAAAGGACCATGCACCATACCACCGCAGCACCTCGGGATGAGAATACGCATCTGAGTGGAGTCAAGTTTAAGGGCAGGGAAAAGACAATAAACAGCAGAAAAGGAGCAGACAGGGAAAACACAGCAAGGGCAAGGCGACACATAGGTTGGGGAGCACGGGGGAGGCGGGAGGGCACACAACACACAACCAAAAAAAACGCAGGGAAAATACAACAACCGACAAACAAGAAAAAGTACAAGTTAAAAAAAAAAGCAACAGTGAAAAAAAAGAAAAAAAAAACTGATGATGAAAGATTGTTTCGTCGGAGTTGCACCGACTCATCAGGAGGCTGAACCCTCAACAATCTGCGGAATCTCCGTGTTGATGGTTTGGGTCATGAACCATTTGACCCTTGTTGAAGGCAGACTGTTCCCAAGCGGAACATAGCAGCGGGCAGCAACTCAACGAAGCACCAGGCAACGCTGCCGAGGCAACACGACTGCTCATCGTGAAAAGCAACGGCAAGGAATGACATGGCAAGCAAATGAGCAGCACAGCGACCATGCAGTGAAGCACAAGGCAGCACCAGCACGGCAGCCAAACTACACGGCACACAAGCAAATGGCGCGGAAGACAAGGCACACAGATGGGCAGCATGGCAGCAGACAAGTGAAGCACAATGTAACATTAAGACCACAACCACACTACACAGTGAACACAGCATCTTGCCAAGAAAGACGCACAAAACAAGCAAGACAGGCAGCAAGGCAGCGGCAGAGCGCAGACAAGGCAGTCCACACATCCAACATGGTGCAAAGCGGCTCATCAACTACTCACATCACGGGTGAACCCCGCAGACTGTTGGTTCCCACTACCCACTGAGCCAGGGGAGTCACTCTGGCGGACGCCTAATATCACCCATAGACCATGTGCACCACACAGACGTTACGAACAGAGCGGATCCCCTAAGAGTCCTGCAGGCACTCCAAACAACGGACCACCTACTCTTTGGCACCTCTCAAAGGTGCTCACTCAAACATACAAAGAGTACTTAGAAACAATAGG